CCCGTGTCTCAGGGGGTTGGCACAAGGTCCGGTTAATTGGGCTGCCGACAGACAGCTCTTCCTGCCGGGGTTCTGCCAGCTCGTACCGGGGAACTGGCTTGTGTTGAAACTGGGCCCCGCGTTCACGTTTTGTCTCTCGGAGCTGCTGTTTGGCCTGGGGCTTCAGACACGTGCGTTAGTGCCCCGTGGTTCCCTCTGTTGGCTTTTATGACCCTGAGAAGGAAAATGGTGTTTCAGAGCAGGCTTCAGCATTGATTTTTGTTCCTGTCTGCAAGCTACTCTGTAACTCTGCTTGGTCCTGAGTGAAACACTGTGGTGCTTTACTGCGTTTTGGTGCCAAAACGATGTGTAAATTTTAATGCTCCTAGCATCTTGTTTTGACTTTAAATGACCTTTGGATGTCTCTTTCTTCTAGGGCAGGCAGCACTGTAGGATCAGTGATCAAGAAACTAATGGGAAAAACTCAACTGCCAGTTCAAATGACTTCAGTGATCCAGTTTACAAAGAAATTGCTATAACCAATGGTTGTATCAACAGAATGACCAGAGATGAGCTCAGAAGTAAACTTGCAGAGTTCAAGCTTGAAACCAGGTCAGGCTGATTCGTAAACTTTTTAATTGTTTTGAGAGCAGTAGAGATGTAAAGGATGATTATTTTAAAGTTTAAAAATACACCACAAAGTGAAAAGCAGACATGCCGCCAAATGCCGGTTGTTTTACGTGTGGTCTTGATGCAGCTTTTGTTGTAGGATTAGTGCATGTGATACTGCTTGATGTGTTGTCAGAAAGGTATGCTGTCTCAACTGGTAAAGCAAAGAAATGAAAGAATACATGACAGTATGTTACTGTATGCATTTTTTGGTCAAGGTGGGGAAAGATAGGTCTAAAGAACTTCAAAGGTTCTCAGGTGGTGTTGTAGACCTTAAGTGTAGAGAAAATTGCTTCAGAATGTATATATTTTTATTTACTGTACCCAGTACAGATCTGATATAGGCTATAACCTCTGTGGTGATAGGGCTCAGAATTTAATCAGTGCAGAGGGTGGGTACCTTTAGATGGACAATTTGCTAATCTGAATAGATGACACAGAATAACATGAACAGGTGAATTTTTTAGAAACTGGATTTGTGTTCATTGAGGAGGAAGAGGAAGGGGCTACGAATATAAGGGAGTAGTTCCTGCTTTATTGGAAACTGCAAGACCCTTTCCTATTGCTGTGGCCAGACAAATCTGAGATGTTGAGAAGAAGGTAAACTGGAAAAAACAGTGTATTGTTTCTGTTGGCAGCAGTGATAAAGCAGTGGTGCTGGTGTTGGGTAGTTAGCAAAGTGAGAAGCCGCTGCTCTGGAGAAAGAGGGAATATGAAAGGTGAGATGGAGTCTGAAAGGAAAAGTCTAGCTTTCTAGAGAAGATTGTAGGGGAGAGGGTATTCAGAGGAAAAAAAAAAGGGAAGGGACAGAGATTCATTTGAACAGAATAAAAGAAAACCAAAATGGTGTGGGTGGGAAGTGCAGCTTGCCACCTCCACCTCGTCTGTCTGCAGATGTTCTGACTGCATTTTTTTTTAATTCCTCTTTCAGTTAAATTAATTTGACTGCTCAGGAGGAAAATTTTTTATAATTACCTGATGGTTTTTTTTTTGGTAAAACAGGTTAGATTTGTACAGCTATTCAGCAGTTATTCTGATTTGAAAATAAAAAGCGTAATTCAAATAGTAAATTATGTGTTTGTGGTTTCTTCCTAGGTTATTGATTTTCTATTTGTGTTTTTTATTCGGGTGTAAATGCAGAAAATTTTAAGCTTTTCTTTTAGCTAAGCTAGACTCCTTTTGTCAATATATTCAGTTAGGTTGGTCAGAATATGTCTTGCATGTAAACAACTAGTGCATCACCTCTAATATAGTGAATTGAGCAGACTGCCACACACCACCCTTTCCCTTGGGATTGTTTTGATAGCAGATTATCTCCTCTTTCAACTTCTTCTATAGGTTTGATGAAGAAAATGTAATTTTCCCTTCTGTCAGCTCCCATACAGTTTCAACTTTGAATGAAGTGGTCATTGAATCAAACTAGATTAATAAACCAGAGTGGAAAAAGTTATTTGTGTTTGCAGAAGAGGCTGATATTTTCAAATGCAGGTTTAGTAGCCTGATTCCAGTTTTTCTGATAACACCACTTGCTACAAGTAGCTCTTACGGCTTGTGTGATTTCATTTGCAATGTGTAATTTTACTTCCTTCGAAGAGTAAACTACCCTTGTTTATTCAGCTGTGGTTTGGTACTTGTCAGTTCTGGCACATGCACTTGCATATTATAATGTTTGTAGTAAAAAGATGCAATAAGTAACTTTAATCATTTGCCACTGTGAATTTCTGTGTAAGCCACAAACCTCCTGAAAAGCAGGATCTTGAGTTTTTCTGATGACTGAAATCTTGAATACTTTTTAAATATAGTTAACTCAAGCTCAATTTTAAATTTAAATTGAGACAGATTTAAAGTGTGGGTGTTTTAGCTGGATTCTGCATTACCTGTGCCACTGATGCAGTAATACCTCGGGCATCAGCCACTTCAGGCAGAGGGCACAGGGAACTGCGGATGAAGCAGTGCTGCTTCCAGGGCCAGAGGTCATCTAGGAGCAGTCTGCAAAGACTTGTAGCTACTGAGTATCACAGCCTCTGCATTATCACAGGTAGTGCGGTGTTAACTGTATGATAAAGTTGAATTCAGATTTTGTAACTGCTGGCGTTCAAAATGAGGATAATAAGTGATGATGTTTCAAATATATATAGTTAAATATAGCTTTGGTTCTACAGTAGTGAAATAATTAATTGAGAGTGTGATCTTTGTCACTTTCCTTATCCCTTTAAGAGGAGTGAAAGACGTGCTGAAAAAGAGACTGAAAAACTACTATAAGAAACAGAAGCTGATGCAGAAGGAACCCATTAATGGAGACAGCTACTATGACTACATTTGTGTTGTTGACTTCGAAGCAACATGTGAGGAAGGAAACCCACCTGAATTCATACATGAAATAATTGAGTTTCCTGTTGTCTTACTAAACACTCATACCCTGGAAATAGTAAGTGATCTAATTGCTGTGTTGGTATGTTGTTCTTTGATGTAACTTCTTTGCTTCAGAAAGTCCAGATTAGTTTTTAGGTAGATGTTGTACTTCATTAAAAATAGCTTCCCCCCACCCCTCCATAAAGACATATCCTATGTCTCTCTTGCATACACACAAAGCTTTCTATTCTTAAAGCATCTGGAATAGATCATGCTCTTGCTGTTGACTCCCTCTACTGATATGAGGGACTTTCAGTTTCTCAGTCATCCTCCCCCCCGCCCCTTCTTTCCCTGCTTTCAGATCCACAAAGCTATTTCTAGGACTCAAGGGATTCATCATAAACAAGAATTAGTAAACTCTGTGGTCTTTTGTGAGGCAATCTAGAAGAGACTAATGCAGAGGTTTAGAAAGTGGGGTTGAGTGAACTCTGCTTCTTGGCAGGCTAGACTGTTTCTACAATGTATCCAATAAATTGACAGCTGTGTAACCTGATTTTAAACATTTAGTAGGCATTTGGCAGCCTCAAGTGCTCTGTGGCAGTACAGCTTTCCTTAGGAAAAACTACTTGCTGTCTAGCTGAAACTGAGTGACTCAGTGGAATGGAGGAAGCACGTACTCCTCTGACTAATGGTTCATTTATCAAGATCTTGTAAGAGAAGGAGGATTTCCAGTTATCACTGTGATGCTATGTTAGGGTGTAGCTGCATGTATGACCAACTGCAGAAAGAGGACTGTGCAGATTACCAAGATTGTTTTATTACCTTTAGAGACTGTGTTGTTTTTTCCTCTGTCCAAGAGGTTTTGTATAGAAGCAGGGATTTGGGTCTTTCTTTTTTCCGTGAAATTTCCATGTAGTCTTCATTCTTGCACTGCTTAGTTTCACAGAGTGAGGTCGTTGTGTTTACCTCTGGCTGCCATCCAGAGGTGTATGACTTGCATGCAGCCTCTGAGATGTGCCGCCAGTTGCCTTCCTTAAATTACAGGTGAGCCTTTAGAGGTACCACCTAAAAAACAATCAGGCTTTGCTCATGCTTCTCACTTTTTTCCTTACTCATGCTCTCCTTTTCCCAAATCCTGTCCTTCTTCCCTCTTACATTCACATTCCTGCCCTTTGTTGCCTACTGGCTGAGAGGAAGGGTGCAAGCCATCCGTCTGTCCCGCTGGCAGTCTAGTGGTGGCCAGTCAGGAGACTTATATTGGCCTGTGAGGTACACACTCCTTTTTGCCTCCAGCAGGACAAGTAGCCGCTATTGCCTTTCGGCTGTGGGCGGGCCAAAGAAGTTGCCTTGCAGGCTACATAGTGTGCTGCTGTTGAGTGTTTGATTCTTACTACAGGAGGATACCTTCCAGCAGTACGTTAAACCAGAGATTAACCCCAAGCTTTCAAACTTCTGCATCAGTCTGACAGGAATCACCCAGGTAATTTGCACTTTTGTTTCTTCAGAAAAAAATATTTAAAAAAAGAGATGTGGTGTTGATGTTTTCACACTGGTAATCTTTAGTAGTTATTCTTCTGTAAGGCTTATTCTCTTAATCCTTGTTTTTTTCCCCCCTCTCCCAATTACCACAGAATTGGTTTCATTAAGTTGGTCATTTAGGTGTTTGTAAGGGGCTGTAGGAAAAAGCATTCACTTTGCAATCCATGTGTAGAAACTTAATCTTCAGCAGAGGAAAGCACCTTTTGAATTGCATCAGTTCCTCTTCTAAGTTTTTTATTCTAAAGAGTTTAGTCTTATGATGGCAATGGCTTTGATCAGGTGACTTGAGCAGGAGCCTGGGAAACAAGCTTAGAGGTTTTAATCCAAGTTCAACAGCCGACTAACCTTGTTACTTTTATAGATGCCATTTGGAGGTTGGCTCTTTTAGTGGTGCTTTTGTGGTGCTTCTTTTCAGTTTAGAAAAATCTGTCCAATTGTCTGCTTTTTCTAATGTGTAATCTGTTTCTAAAGATATTTGTGAAGCCAATGTAGTGATTGATGTAATGAGTGCCTGTATACCAATATACTTCCTGCTGTTGTTTTGGTTTAGTTTTTTTCTGAAAAAAATGTTGCTCACTTTTTTTTTTTTTGCGTTGTTCTCTTAGGACATTGTTGATAAAGCTGATACATTTCCTCAGGTTCTGCAGAATGTCATAGAGTGGATGAAACAGCGAGAACTGGGAACAAAGTATAGCTATTCCATGTTAACAGATGGGTATGTCCTTATGCAACCTTCAGCACAATCTAAAACTGCAAAACAGCGTTTAATCTTTGTAAGAGTGTTGTTAAAGGTGGATCAAGACACTGTCATTCTGACATTTTATTATAATTTTGGCTTTTGGGGAAAATCAGAAAAGCTGAACTAAACAATTTGGAATGAAGCTTAAATCCATTAGATGGCACTGTTTCTTTCCTAGCTGTCTTTATGCAACTAAATGATGTTGAACAGACCTTTTATCCTTTGTTGTTGTAATTCTCTGGTTACATCTAGCTTTCATATAGCCCATAATACCTGGAAATAATGTTGTACAATTTCAGTTCTAAGCAACTCCCATTCTCTCCTGAATCTGAGGTTTCAGAGATGTGTGGTGGGTGTGTTGTATCCCATGTATGTCAGTGTTGCCAAGTCCTGCATGTGTCACCAGAAAGCAATAACGGATTATGCTGTTTATCGAACAAGGAGAAATGGCCAGGGCAGAAATGGCTTATAGGACTGTGGCTCTGGTGGGTGCCACCTCTGACAAGCTTTGTGTCCTTGAACTGCCATCTAAACTTGCTCTCTCCCAAATGCTGGGTGGAAACTCAAGGTCCCTAGTGACTGCAAAGTGAACAGATCTTGAGATCTAGATATATCTGTGATGCAGTATTGTTCTTTTGATCTTAGCTTTGTTATATGATGAAAGATACTGTTTGAGCTTTATCTTATGTAGCACTGGACAGGGAATTTTTCCATAGGTGATGCTTGCTTTTTAGCCATGAAATGTTACTATATCTGCTTTCCTCCTCTTGGAATGGGGGATTTAGGTAGGACAGGGAGTTTTTAACATTAGCCATGTTGAGGTGAATGGTGCGTTTTCATGTTGCTGTGCCTGTTGTTTGCCTGGAGTAGGTCTTCTGCTTTGCTGGATTAAAAAGGTGGTCCTGTGCTGCTCTGCTGCAATGACTGTATTGAACCAAAGAGATGAACCCTGAAACAAAACTGGAATTTATGAAAAAAGAACATGGAGAATCTTAGTATGACTTCTTATGCTTCTGTCAAGTAAAATACAGATAAATATTCTAGTCTATAGTATGAGTGGTTTGACAAATAAGGTATCATAGATGATGAATGGATACATAGCAAAAGCTTTTTAATTTAACCCAGCTTGGTGAGTGGGAAAATTTTTTGGCCATGAGACTTTTTTCTCAAAATTTCTAAAGGTTTAGACACTGACTATAAATCAGAGATCTTTTCTGGTGAAGAACCCGTATCATTGAAATGTGGTTGTGTCCATTGTGACCAGTGAAACCATTTAAAAGCTGTCACACAAGACTTGAGGTGTACAGTTTAGATCTGCGTACACCTCAAAAATAAGGAGTTAAAATTCCAACTTTAATTTAAGGAACTGTGGTAAAACTGCCACTTGACTAATCTTTTATCTGTGATTAGGTTTCCATCTTTGGAAGCAACAGTGAATTAAAAATACAAAATGCTAAAGCAAAACTGGTGCAAGACTGGTTATATTACTGGGCCTAAAATGTGTCTGGAATTCTCCCCCAGAGAAATCCCCTCAGTGAAATTCCTCAAGGAAAGTAGGTGCAGTAAAACCTCTGTCATATAGGTGAGATGGTGTAGACAGCTGCAAGAGAGAGGAAAAAAGGCTTTATTTTAGCTTGAAGCTTACAAACCTGTTGGGGTGGTTCCCTTTAGGAAGGAGGAATAGAAGTGCAGAGATTTCTAGTTTCATCTTCTTTCCAAAAGGTCTGGTTTCTCCTAAAACTAAGTGCAGTCTTGTTTCAGTAACCTATGGTAAGTAGAGAGATGTATGCATTCCTGAGTGAACAGGAAAAATTAAGGTGTTCCTTACTTGCCCAAGGGCTGTGTAAGCGTCTAGTTTATTGGGCGTTTTTGGAGTAGATGAGGTAGGTGGAGAAGTTGGCTTGCTATTTTTTGTTTTAACCATCCTGGACCTGAAACCATCCTAGTGAAAATCTTGCTCATGTCATTATTTTTTTTCGCCACGATTAACTAATTCGTATTAGAAAATTCTTTACCAGGACTACAGCAGAAGAGCTTTGCTTAAACTGTTTTCCTTCCACTGATCACCAAAGAAAAGACAGCTTGTTGTGCCACAGCTCTGCAACATGTAGAATGCAGGCCATCTGAATTATGTATTGCTAATGTTTTCCTCTTTTCTCTTTTGACTGTTTAAGATCTTGGGATATGAGTAAATTTTTGAACATCCAGTGCCGTATTAGCCGTATCAAATACCCTTCTTTTGCCAAAAAGTGGATCAATGTTCGCAAATCATACGGGAACTTCTATAAGGTTTGTACAAATTGTTGTTTCTCTTGCAGGAAAATTTGATTTAAAAGTCTAGAATATCCTGTTGTGCTTGTCATCTTCACTTGTGTAGTATAAAATTAAAGTACTTGAACTAGTTGCCTGGGGCCTAATTTTCAAATGTGCTTCATGCCCAGATCTCACTTTACTAATTGAAGATCACATAATCTACTGCATTTTGATTTTAATCTTATTTTTAAGAATCAGGAGATGCTCTATGAAGGATTGTCTAAAAATGTCATACCGATGCTCTCAGATAAGTGTGTATTGAAACAGTTCAGCTGAAAAGACTCTGTATTGATTTTTCAATTATTTTTACCTGTTTTCATGTAAGATGCTACAAAACTAATTTGCAGCAGTACCCTCAAATATCTCCACTTTTGACAGTGTAACAGGGACAGAGAAAGATCAGGATATATCTACAGTGGAATCAAACTGTCAAGAGAAAAGTATTACCAAGTTCAGCGTTGGACCTTACTGCTGCTTCCTCTCACTGTCAGATTACCATAAAATGGGTTATTGGAGATTCTAGCAAATTCCCAGTCAGTCCACACCAGACCATTTGTTTGAATGTGATTTTAGCCTAGGTGATGATCTTCTCTTGAAGGACTTTTTCATACTAAATGTAACCTCTAGGGGAAAAAAAAAAGACGTTAACATTTAATAAGAGCTCACACCATTTCTCCCTCTGTTTTTTCTGCCTTCTTCCCATGACCGCTTCGGTTGGAAACACAGCAGGACACAGAACAGTCTTGTTAGTCCTATCAGCTTTAACCTAGACATACCATCTTTTCCCTTCTCTGTTGAGCAGTGAGTGCTTTTTCATCAAAGGCAGTGCAGATTTTTTTGATTGTGATTTCTTTCTTTTTTTTCCCAAATAAATACCAACAGTTGTAGCTCTTGTAGTTGTTCAGTGCTTCTGTTTGGCTGTTCTGTGCTGCTATGGAATCTGTTGTTTAGTAATAGTAATAGATGAAACTAATGACAAGGAATGTATTGTAACTTTCCTGTGGAATATCCCACAACCTGCAGTATGTTTCCCCTGCCCAGTTTGTGGGTGTTATTATTGGAGTTGCATATTGCCAGGTTTTGTCAACTGTGTTGTCACCATTCTATCCTAGCTCTTAAATGCTGTAGTATGGTGCAATATCCTAGAACTTGTCACATCTCGTGTTCCCTCGCCCCAGCCACCACCACCAAGAGAGCAAACTAAAGTTTTCCTTTGAAGTTACCCTCTTGTTTTTCTTATACTTTTCCAAAGAACAAGTATATATTTAGTAGTTAATCAAGAGAGGACTTGGGGCTTTTGCTGGTGTAGCACTTTGCGTGGGTAAGTCAGTTAAGCTTCCTCGTCTCTTCCATGCTGTTGGTCATCCATGTAAGCATGGACTGCTGCAGGTGTTGCTGATCTCTTCCTGTGCTGTTTGGATGCATTCAGAAGGTTGATGTCAGTGATAATCAGGAGCCTGGTGCTTCTTTAGTGACTCGGCATTTAAAAGGAAAACCAAAATCCAGTTCCCTCTGCAATGCCACTTTGGGTGGTAATTCCTTTTTTATAAGGCTTGTTAAACCTAGCTAGGCCATGGCTTCCACCATTGCCAGCGCTGGCACGTCTGGAGCTGATGCTGGTAATGCTGAGAGGCTCTTGACTTTATCCTGAGTCTAGACAAGCTCCTGTTGACTATGTCTCCTCTGTAAAAATGAGAATGTCTGTCTTACCAAGGTGCTTTGAAGTTAAATTAGTGATTTGTTAGTGATCTGACAAAAGGCAATATTAAAGTAGTATGTGACTTAAGTAGACTTAAAATCTGCATATGTTTCTACTGCACTGTTAGATTAAAAAGACTTGGTGTAGAACCTAATTCTTCAATGTGGTTCACTTTCTCCATCAGGTTCCTAGGAACCAGACCAAGCTGACAATCATGCTTGAAAAGCTGGGCATGAATTATGATGGGAGACCTCACAGTGGACTTGATGACTCTAAAAACATTGCAAGAATAGCTATAAGGATGCTACAGGATGGCTGTGAACTGCGGGTGAATGAGAGAATGCATGCTGGACAGCTTATGACAGTCTCCTCCTCAGCCCCCTTAGAGGGAGCCCCTGCTCCACAGATGCCCCGCTACAGAAACTAGCAGTTCAGAGGTTCTGCCTTAGGAACTGCTCTCAGATTTCTGCTGAAGACTGTTAACAGCTTATTCAACAGCCACCTCTGCCAACCTGTCTGCGATGCAGAAACCAAAAGCACCTTAACTAATCTTCTCTGTTGAAATAAAGGAGTGTGGAAGCTCTTCGCTCTTTAAAGCCAGTGTTACAGCATTTTTTTTTTTTTATACTGATGATTTTTGTTGTTGTTGTTGGCAACTTTTCCAGCAGTAAGGTTGACATGCAGAATCTAAGCGAAGTGTTAAGTTTGTAAAAGCATGCAATTTAAACACATGCAAAGACTGATCGAGCCTGTGTGCTGCTGTTCCACCCCAGTCTGTGGGTAGTATTTATTCACTATGCCCTACTGTAATGATATCTAGCATCTGATTATTCATTGCACACAAATAAGGCATTGCTGGAAGAACTGAAGTAGCGAGTGGTCAGGCTGGCATTTCCTGATAAGGCACTCCTCTAAGGGTTCCTGCTGGTAATTTTTTTTTTTTTTATAATTACAAAGTCTAGGAGAAATGGGAGTGTGTTCATCAATTCTAAAGCAGTAGAACTGTGTTGTTTGGTTTGCTTTTTTTTTTCCCCTTTAAGGGATATCTTTGCTGCCACACCAAATAGAAGAGCTGTGTATTGAATAAAAATTCCATTAATACAGTATGATAGTAATTTTTTTTCACCTGTATTTAAAAAGAGAAGGTTCTTCAGATTTTCACTTTGAGGATCATCTCTCCTATTCCTGCTACACCCATAGCTACATTTAATTTAATGTTGCTTTTAGACATTGTTAGTAATTTGGACTTAAAAACGAGTGAAGTAAAAATAAGTTCAAAACATGACAGATTGTCAAAACTGTGTGCTATGTGGTTATTACATAAAACAAAACAAGAAGCTTCTAGTTCATAGTTAAAGATATGCTCAACTATTTTTGATACCTTCCTGTACCTCTGCCACCATGAAGCTATATCTTTATCTCAAAATCTAACATGGGAAGATTAATATAATTTTGTTAGTAAAGGGCCACATCTAATTATTAACAACTACTTATTTCTTCCTAGGCTCCGGATAAGATGATATTCAAAAGAGGCCAAAGTGTTAATTTGCTTTGTCTCCATGGGCTGTTTTGAAGTACAACATGAATGTGATCTGCTTTGCCTTAGAATGGTTTGTTCTGAAAAGCAGAATGATGTATTTTAGTTGCTTTTAGTAAAAAACAAAAAAAAGTTTGGTATCCCTGTATTATTATTAATTCATTCTTTCTACCATTTACATTTGGGAAACAAAGTAACAAATTCATAATAAAGCTTTAAGAACATTCACTGCTTGGCTAATCAAGCTCCTCCCAATTCCCATTCCTCTTCCAACTGTTAAATTTGATCAGTGGAAACATGAAGACTTCATTTTAAATTAATGTGAGAGAGAGAGGTATTGGTCAACTCTCAGCTGCTTCAAATGTAGGAAGGAAGCAGTTGTCTTTCAGAGTCAGATATGGACAGCCACCACTGCTTTAGAATGATGTTAATTTTTTTTCTGAAAGTTATTTTTTTTTCTGAAAGAGCAAATTTTTGTTCTACTTATAGAGCTTTCTCAAACTTTACAGTTTCCTTTATTTCTGTAGCAATACTTGATGTATTTTTGAAGGATAAAATCCAAATATCTGATATGCTTACTCTGAAAATACCATTTATTTGTCAGCCCATATTTTGTACAAATTGTTAATTATATATTTGCTTTTCACTATAGCAACCTTTTCTTTTCTTACGAACCAGGGTAATTTACTTTTTTGGTCTCTGAGTTACTGTGGTGCAGTTTTCTATGATAAAATTGAGTCCAACTCAGCAGATCTCCCCTTGGGATGCTGGCAGTATCATAGACTTTGTCAGTTGCCTTTTATTTACAGGTCTGTAACTAGGCTCACAGTCCAATGAAAAAAATTATCTGTTAGAGATTATACTACAGGTTATGTAAGTGAAGAACTGTTGTAGTTTTACATCATTTATTTTAAGTACAGAGTTGTTTATTTTTGTTAAATAACTTCAAAAAGGTATTTGAGATAGAGTTAAATATTAATAATTGTTTTCTGTTTACTACTCGAGCAGGGGTTTTTTTGTCAGTTGAGTTGCAGAAATTGGTAGAATCATTCCAGATACTATTTTATCTAAACTGGATTAATGTCAAACTATAAACTCTAACTATTTTCACAGAATGTGTGATTCTGTGATTTTGAGATTAAGTGAATTTTATCAATGTTTGTTGGTTTACTTGAAATGCAAACAAACTTATTAAAGTAAGCTGGTATTTATTAACATGTCAGGTACTGAATTTATGCTATAAAGCATGAGATGACTTCAGCAGTCTTGGAGAGTCTTGGTCTCAGCATGGCTCATGATTTGTCTTCTCTGGCGGACTAACATTGCCACAGCTAGGTGGCTTAAATCTCATGGACGTGACTAGTTTACAACACTTAGTAAAGGGATAAATTTTCCTGGATGCTGTTACACTAAAGAGGAAGGAGGCATTTGAGGGGAAAAAAAGCACGCAGTATGGTGGTGTTAGTAGTGACTCCTGTCTTCAGCCAAACAATGTTTTTTCAGATTGATCTCATTTATTTGTCCAGAGAAACTTGTTAAGTGCATTTCTGTTGTAATTAATATTTTTATTTATTAGAGGAGTCATCCCATGCTGGAAAAATTAATTACAATTTTGTATTTGACAATTATGTAAGAAACAATCTCCGTTTTATACAGAAAAAAACCAGGCAGAGGTTATCCCACTGACATAATAAGAGGCCTTGTGGTGGTGGTGGTGTTTTGTTGGTTGTTTTTTTTTTTTAATTTCACATTTCAGGAGCTGTACTTGAGCAATTCTACCTCTACTGCAGCCAGCCTTTGTAAAACACTAGCAGTTGCAGGCAGATTTCAACACGAGCACTTTCAAGTAGATTTCTTAATATGTATTTATATGAATGTGAGAAGGATTCACAGAATCTTGGGGTTGTGTTAGGAAAAAGGGTTTCTCAGGCAGGTTAAAGAGCAACAACCTCTCTGTCTTGATGAGCAAATGCCTGAGCAAATGTTGCTAGCCGCATGGGGAAGAAGAGGTCACAGCAGTTTGTAGCCTCCCATCAACCTGCTAGTGAGGTATGGCTACAGGGGCAAGTCTCAGTAGGTCAGTTGTCCATAGAAACTGCTCCTGTCTGCGCTTGTCTTATAATAAGGTAATTTAATAAGGTAGTTTTTGTTTCCATGTTTTGTTGGAAATTAACATTGCAATGAGGAGGGGCTGTTGCCAGTAGTGGAAATAAATTCACCTTGAGTTGAGTTTCTCGTGCCCTTGGAGAGCTCTTGGCACTTCACTGCAGGCTGCCACTGCTCTTTGGTGACCTTGTGGAAGCAGTGTATTTTCACCACAGCTTTGCTAAAGGACAACTCCTTTCTCTCACCCAACAGTTCCCAAGGCTGTTCTTAAGTCTTCCCCTTCCCTTTTTCTTCCATTAGTGAACTTTTGCCTCCCTTTGAAGGAAGTTTGTCCTAGGTGAGATCTTTGTATGCTTTTTTTAATCTGGGGAAAACAAAACCAAACCAAACCAGGCCTTTTAAAAAGAAATAGTAAGTCTTACTCGTGGAGGATATGTGTCAAGAGGCCCAGTTACTGACTGGAGGCTTTTGAAATGGGCTACACGTATAGAACATAATTCTGTTGCAACCAAGACCATTCTAGCCCCTCTCAAGGACTTAATATTTGACAGCCCTCATGAGTAACAGTGACAGTTATCAGAAGGATTCCTCTGATGGCAATATGTGAAGTGGCAAGTGGTGGTCAGTTCATGCTTCTGCTCTTGCTTCTTGAGCTGTGGCCCACCTGAACAGCAATAGTAGGGAGTAGGCTAACACTCGTTTTAGAAGACCTTCCTGCTCATCCAATGGAGAAGGAGGTGCTGATCTGCAAGTATGGATGCAGACAAGGCTTTGGAGGATGAGAAGTTGCTTCTTTTGGGTTCCTTCTAGTTTGGTCTCTGCATATGCACAATGTCCGACACTGACTGGCTTTTGCCCTCTTTAAACTGGAGGACCTTTGTGTTGTGGGAGGAAAGGCTGAAGTGTAGCTTCAAGGATATGCTCCTTAAATTAAAGGAGCGTGACTGCTTTGCACTAAGTGGCCCCACAGGGAGGAAAGACATTTTCAAATGAATGACAAGAGTCTTGGACACCTCTTTATGGCAGAGGTGACCTCTGGGTGATGAGGGGTGTGATTGCAGGGCTTAGGCAGCTGTCGCCTCTGTGGCCACTCAGTTCAGGAGTGCCCCATGGGTAGTACCATGCACCTGCTATCTTAACTCAGTGTGGTTGTGACTGCACGTTAATTGTAGGTAACATGATGTTGCTCGCAGGTACATAGTGGGTTTTTTTGCCTGCTTTCCTGGCTAAACTCTTGCTGATCATGGGTTTTTCTGCTGTTTGAAGTGAATGACAGTAATGATCTTGCATTGGTAAAGTATTTGCAGGTGATTCTGACCTTCTTTGTTTATGTTCCCTGTTTCAGCCTTGTTGATTTTTAAAGAGCACATGTAGCCAAATGGACCTCTGTGAGCCAGGTGTGTCCCAATAAGCAGGAATTGCTTCATCACGCTTGTGTTCTGCTTTGGGGTGGTGTGCAGGTCCTGGGCTGCCGGCCGGCCATGAAGCATGACATACCTTCCCAGACAGTGACATGCTCAGCAAAACACCATACCTGGGCATTGCTTTTTTTTTACTTATGACTGCAATCAGTGTGATTTGGAGGTCTCCTTGCTGTGTTCCTTTCTTTACTTCATAATAATTAATAATTTGAATTGATAAGTAGTTGAATATTTATGCTCTGAGCAGCATGAAATCTGCTCTGCATGAAAGCACTGTATGCGTAACAGAGAGACGTAGTAGCCAGGTATGAGACTCAAAGTGCCTCGTATTTGCACTTGAAAGCACTTAAATGTTTGTGGTCAATTTCCATGCATGCAGATATGGACTAAGGTGCTAGGAGCCAGGTATGAGACTCAAAGTGCCTCGTATTCGCACTTGAAAGCACTTAAATGTTTGTGGATGGACTAAGGTGCTAGCGACCTAAAAAGAAGGGAGAAGTGAGATGTTATTAGCTGATCTCGGCAGGGTAGGGCAGGTGTGTGCTTATACGTATCCCTGCAGGCTGAGTGTTTAAAGCAGTTGATGAACATCGAGAACAGCCTCTTTGGGAGGCCTAATGCTAT